TACAAAGAAAATAACTTGCGAGACTAAAGAATCACAGTTGAGTCAGAGCTCTTTATTTAAACAAGAAAGACGAGGATATAGCCAACGTACCTGTTGTCGCCAATCGTTTGGCTCGCCAACAAGCTTATGCAATAGAAGAAAAAATAGGTACGCGACGCATACATGTATCTGCGAAAAAACTTGATTCACATTTTGTATTTTTGTTGAAAGGAACTGAATAATGAAGATGACATGGGGCAATTTAAACATTTCATCACTTATTATAATAAATATAATAGCAAATGAGATTTTAAAGTCAAACATAATACAAAATTTAGCTAATTTTATAATGTGATTATATTGTAACGGATAATTATGCAGTAAGGAAATAAAAATTTCATGCAAACAATATTTGAAGTGTCTATACAGCCGGCTGTTTAGTAAACTGCCACTCGTGAATTCAATCCATACTCAAATTTTCAAAACTTTATTGTAATCATATGAAGCAAAATTGTCTTGCAAGTGGGTTGTTCTGACAAAATTATCTAGCCCATATCCAGTACATTTATTCATCATTCTTGCATTAATCTATAAACAAAATCATTTATGTTAGAAAGCAAAATAACAATGTAATGAGGAGGGAGAGTGGGGATTCTTTTATTAGCATTTGAAAATGTTTGTAAACATTTTGTTTAATTATTATAAACTCTAATCACTGTTAAATCAAAATGTATAAGTATTTTAACTGATAACATCGAACAGAGTTTAATACAGAAATACAGGACCATGATTTAATTCAATATTATACCTCAAATTCAAATTGTCCAATGAAAAAACAGCATTTGTACCACGTGGTAGTGTGATTTTTTACGGTATTTCACTCAAATACATGATCTCGCAATCCAGCGTGGGATACTATAATATCCCACGGCAGATCCACCGTGGGATATTATAGTATTCCACGCTCTGAATTCTGAAACAATATGGCGTTCGCGAGCTCGTACAGAACTACAGAAGATTTTAATATTAAGTAAACCAAATATTTCAACACGTATGTTACTTTCAACGATCCAAAGGATACTTGCTCAAATATTTTAAGGAGAAAACGTCAAAAACTCAGGTATAGATAAGAAATTAAAAATTGTATTCGCATAGTTATTAATATTCAGCAAGTTAAAGTTCATTCTGAACTTGATAGACTCTTAGTGAGTTTTTTAACTTTCGGTATAATATATCATTTATAGACCCTCCGCTCGGGGGATTCGGTGATATTTCCCTCAGTGATGATATTTTCCTCGGGGCAAAGCCCCTCGGAAAATATCATCACTGAGGGAAATGTTACGCCGAATCCACCTCGCTCCGCCTCCGGGTCTATAAATGATAAATATCTCCTGAGAACATTAGTTTGCTGTGACGTTGTTCATTGACAAATATATTGCCTGCTATGTTTTGACTGTTGAAAATATTACACAATACAATGATTGTTTTACTGTAAAAATATATAATAAAATAATAAATATGTGGTATTTGACTACTTACCAGAGGAGGATAAGTTTCCATGTTGGTAGATAATTTCGGAATAAAATCGCAAGTAGAATGTACGGCAGCCCAGACGCGACAGCACAAAACAGTTTTTGTATTTTTACATTTTTGTATTTTTTGATTTTTGTGTTTTTTTATTTTTGTATTTTTTTATTTTTGTATTTTTTTATTTTTGTATTTTTTTATTTTTGTATTTTTTTATTTCTGTATTTTTTTATTTTTGTATTTTTTTTATTTTTATTGATTTTTTTCAGTATAGATATACATACTGTAGCACTTGAATGAGCAGGCAAGGTTACTGATAATGGGTATATGTAACATGATCGAAGCTGTGTAACACAAAATTAGGGTTGGGGGTTAAGGGCAGTGTTGTAGAACTAAATTTACCAGAGGAGGGGGCTCTCCTGACGAGCGTAAAACCGTGAAATCGTAAAAAAAGTGTCATACGATGACCAGGGGTGAATCATACGATGACCAGTGGTAAACCTATAGCCTTCACCGTGGCGGCATTTTTTGATTGGAGGGAGGGGGTTAGTGAACGCCGAAAGCATGAGCCTTCCGGGACTGGGAGGTCCGGGAAATTTTGAAATCTGAGACTTATCAGAGCCCCGGAAATGCAATAAAACCTGCTAGTTTCTCTTAAAAATTTCTTGAACGACTCTTAAGCAATCCATTATATACGGGTTATTCGCTTAGTACATTTTCCTTGCATACATTTTTTTCTTCAATATTTAATGCCTTATTTAAGCGTAATTTGAATTGCATTTTCCATACTTATCGTCCTTATCTTTCTTAGAACAGAGATCCTGCTCCGTAAATGAACCAAAGTTACGTTTTCTCTTGTCGTTCTTGGACATGAGTACATTCGGTATTTAGTATGGCCAGATGACTGAATCTCCTCTGTGACAAAATAAATTCTCTATTTTCTAAAGTAGAACGGCACTTCGCTCAGTCCCCCCACATGTCCAATACGTATGCAAGATGTCCAATGGAATAATCAAAATGCCATTGGACATTCCATTTGTCAAATGGATCAAATGGACCTCCAATTTTCCATTGGACTTTTGCGTGTCCATTGGATCCAATGGACAAATGGAATGGCCATTGGCCAGCAATGGATCAACTATCGGAACAATGCATCACCCGAATAACACACCATGTGAAGGTTGCCGATCGGAACAATGCATCAACCGGATAAGAGCTTCCGCGTTTTTACCATTACGTAATTAACAGGTTGCAAGACTCCATGTGTACATGATTATGAAACCAGAGAGATGTTCCAATGGACCAATTATTGTCCAATGGAATTTTACCTGTCCATTGGATCCAATGGACAAAATAGCCTTTCCATTGGAAAATTACCTGTCAATTGGTCCAATGGGAAAATAATATGGAAGTCAATAGACATTTCTTATGTCAATAATATAACAATATGTTATTGCTTCGTTCTTAAAAACTCACCCAATATATCATATAGCAATATATAATATTCGATAATAAGTTGTTGTTTCTTTCTTAAATTAAGAAACCTACACGCAATATATCAATATAATATGTTGTTGCTTCGTTCTCAAGAGACCACATTTATATAACGCGGAAAGGAAAGATCCTTATATCAATCATGATATAATATGTTGTAATTGCTTCGTTCTTAAGAAATCACGCAATATATCAATATAGCCCAATATAATATGTTGTGAACGTTCGCTTAAGAAACGTTCCTTTGTTCTCAAGAGACGCGCAATATATCAATATAATTTTCCTTCGTTCTCAAGAGACCACATACATGGCACGGGAACGTGAAGATCCTTATATCAATAATATAATATATTGTTGCTTCGTTCTTAAGTCAAGAATTAACTCACGCACTATATCAACATAATTTTGCTTCGTTCTCATGGGACCATGCATGCGTACATAACACGGGAACGGGAAGATCCTTATTATAAGTAATAGCATGGCTTTTCGGGAGATTAGTGATTAAATGGCCCCGTAACCCGAGGCAGGTTTGCGGAATTCCCGAGGGAATTCCGCAAACCTGCCGAGGGTTAGGGGCCATTTAATCACTAATCTCCCGAAAAGCCATGCTATTAGTTTGTAATAGCATAGTTGCGCTCCCATTTAAAAATGGACAAACATGCCCTACTTGGAATCAGCGTATTTAAGCTAAAACATTTGCTTCATTGCTTGTGGGATGTAAAAGCTTGTTGCACATGCGCACTTTTTACGCTTTAATCGGTTACTCATGCGCAATCTATCATTTAAGACCTTATTCATAAATCGTGATCGAGGCCTCGTATCCTAGGAAACGGGGAAAAACGCGGGAAAATTGACAAAAAAATTTTTTGCTGTCGGCTATGGCAGCCTTTTTTCGTCAATACTATACCCTGGGTGCCAGAGGTTTTTCCACGCTCGCAACGCAAAAAAATATAGTGACGGACGGGCGAGCGGGAAAAACCTCTGGAACCATGCACGCTATCTCAGATCACGCCGATCCAATCAAAACGCTGGAATGGCCGTTTTCAGTCAGAATATCGGATGTAACTTTTGATTGGTGGAATACCGTGGAAATGGCAAAAACCTATCTAACGAGCATTCTTATTGGACAGTGAGCCTCTGCAGGTAAAATTTTCTCATCGTTCAGAAGTCGACCTCTGTTTACATTTGGCTGGGTAAAACTGTAAAATGCCTGTACTTTCGCGAGAGGATTTTTCTACTTGTGTAAATAATGTTTTAAAGAAATCTCCAGAAGTTTCCCAGCTTAATAACTATCAAGCTGAATGCTTATTCAATTTCATCGAACGGCGCGATGTCTTTGCCATGTTGCCAACCGGCTTTGGCAAATCTCTAATTTTTCAAATGGTGCCAGGTTTGTGTGAAGAGCTTCACCTTATGGGCTACAAGGCATTCCCTGCGAAGGCTATTGTGCTAGTACTGTGCCCGTTAGTTTCGTTAATGGAATTTCATGTGCGAGAATTGACGAAAAGAGGATTTACTCTTGTATTTGTTTATCGAAAGATGGCGCTACCAAAGAGAAACAAAATATTCATGATGGCAAGTATTCGTTCGTGTTTTGCAAGCCCTGAGTCCGTTATACTGAATGACCAATGGCGTAAAATGCTTCAGACTAACATTTATCAGGAAAATCTGTTTGGAATTGTGACTGATGAGGCACATGTTATTCCTAAATGGTAGGTATGTAATTCTTCAGGGTGCGAGTTGCTTGCTCAGGCAGTACAATACAAGTTGTACGTCTAGTCATTTCGTTTAAATTAAAAAACATTAATAATATTAGTATAATATAATAATAATAACATTACAAAATATCGTTGAAATACAATAATGAGCGCCCAGAATTTCAGAAGAACTTATACCCAATGTATTTGTATGTATTTTTGACATTATTATTATTATCAGTATGTACGTATTTTTATATTATTTGTATGTATTTTTATATTATTATTTGTATGTATTTTTGATAGTATTATTTCAAATGTATATATCAGGTTGCCAAGCAAAGTGTTTACTAAAATATTCATCTCGCCTAGGCCTAGGGGAGATTTCTGAGTTTCTGTATCTGGTCGTCTTTCTGCGTTTCTGTATCATGTTAACAGTAAGACTCGCAGAGTACACAGAGTAACTCGCCTTGCTGGGTAACTTGCCTCCATATACAGTATTATAAAAAGGCTGACAAATTTACTATGCATAAAAAGCCTGCACGTGAAAGGACAATGGGCTATTCCATTTAATATCCGTAACACCCCCCCCCCCCCATCGATATGAGGACCTTGGAATTCTTCAGGAGTAAGGTAATTTTTAACTTTGGAATTCCTCATGGGTAAACAAATTCTCCTGTGAAATTCTTCAGGGGTTGGTTATTTTGAATGAGATTTCCTCAGGGGTCAGATGTAAAAAGTGAAATTCTTCAGGGTAAATACTTATTTCTTCAAGGGGTAAATGCTATTTAACAGGAATTTTTCAGGGGATATCTCTTTTATGTCAGGAATTCTTCAGGGATATTGTAAAACCCTTGTCCTCTATTAGGGGGTTACGTCTTTTAAATGGAATAGCCCAATGCTGACTGGTTCATACAATAACCATATCATATCACAAACATAAATGCTAGTACCAATAAAATAATGCTCCTTTGAACTGTAGTAATTACAAATATGAAACACACTAAACTAAATTAGTGCTTTTTTTATTAACAGGGGTTATGGGAATACAAAAGAACGAATGATGGCTTTTCGTGAATGCTTCAGTCGCATAGGTGAGCTTCGCTCCCTTGTACCAGATATTACACCCATCCTTGCTCTTACAGCAACCGCT